TTTACAAATGAGGAAACAGGCTCAGCGAGTTCGCTTGTACTCACAGACACACAACTGGGATCTGAATCATGGGCCCTTGGACACTTGAGCCCAAGCCCTTCCACTGTGTAACCTTTCTTTAAGTGAAATGATGTAAGGTCTCGCAAGAAACATGTATTGGGCACCAACTGTGTACCCAGGCTGCTGAAGATGTAGCAGTGAGTGCAGCTGGGCTGAACACCTAAGACTTTTCAGAATATCATCAGAGGAATTGTCAGAACATGATTGGCCTGGGGTCCTGCTCATGATATACTGTGTCTGTTATGAAAGTAATGCAGGCTCACCCTGCTTTCAGAATGATCTCTCCAAACGCAGGCTGTAAAAAAGGAAAAGGAGAGCTCTCCGTTTCCGCAGCCCAACCCCACGGCGCACGCTGCAGGGTTCACAGTTCCTTGCCAGCCCTTTTAGGTCTCGCCACGAACACGTAGCAGAGTGCTTCCTTGGAGGGACTCTGTGATGGATGCAAGGAAGGCTTTGTGATGTGAGGCTGGGCTTGGCCGCAGAAGCCTTGGCTGCATGTCGGGCCCACTCTGCAGTGCCACGGGCTGAACATCAAGCAGACGATGGCCTTCATTTAGTAGAAGGATTAGCCTTGGCAAGCATCTGCCAAACCATTTGGTGCCTCACAACTGGGAGACTTATGGAGAGGGAACTCGATTCAATATCTCTGTCTTTCTTGCTCAGCCATTCTAACAACCTCTCCCAGCTACATCAGGGCTCTCTTCTCCAGCCACTCAGGGTCTTCCGAATTGTTCTCTCTGACAGCACCTGTCATTTGTAATTAAACTGTCCATCTACACACTTGCTTGGCCCCATGGTGTGTGCAGACCATGCGCTCTGGAGGGCAGGAGTAGTGTCTGAGTCACCTTCTGACCTCACTTCTGGATGCGTTGCTGGCATGACAGAAGCACTCATGAGGCATTTTCTGAATAAATACATGAGTGCCTGCCAGAATATATCTGTGGTGTCATACAAGACACAATTGAAACTGCACTGTGACCTGGGAAGTCTCTTTCCACCTTTCTACTGGCTGACTTCTGGGCTAGATTTCAGGGATGGAAATCTCCCGGTGAAGATTGCTATTGAAGATTCAAGGAAAATCCTTTAACTTCAAGAGCAGAAGCCAGGTTCTTACTCATCCACTCATGGGAGGAGATCAAATTTCTTCCATATTCATTGATTAATTCATTTGTTCACTGGAAAGGTGATGCATCTAAATGCCTCAGGGCCAGGCAAATACTATGAGAAGTGCAATAGGGAGTGGTAGAAACTGTGGCTAAAATAAATCACATTCCTGGTCTATGGGAGACAGCTGCTACTGAACTCCAGCCAATCATTGCCATGTGACTGTGTGAGCCCAGTACTGCCCAGTATTCCAGTGTTTTCAAGGAAGCCAGGAATCTTGATTACTATATGAAATATCCTGATATGTGAACACTCAGTAACTTTTTAAAAAATTTTCATTGCACAAGCTACATAGAGTCCACTGTAGGCTTTGTTCACAGAGAAAAGGGCCCTTGTAAGGGCCTCTGTTAGACTGTGACCCACAAGTCCCACAGGGCCAAGGATTCTATCTGTTTGATTAACCTCTGTGCTCTTAGTTCTACCTATATACTATATAATAATTGCCCAATAGAAATTGGCTGACTGAATAAATGGATGCTTCTGGTGAACCAGGCACTGTGCTGGGCACTAGGATTCCTGGCATGGACACAATATGAGTTTTCAGTCTGGGAAAAGGGTGCAGAGGTAAGAACCAAACCATACCAGAAAAGGTTCTGAAGCTAGGATGGAGATCTGTGCAGGTGCAGGACATAGTTCCAGGAACAGAGGAAGTCATGCTGCTGGGGATATATCTGGGCCTTAAGGAGAGTCTTGACATTCATCTTATAGAATAAAATGCTTCAAGCAGCATGCATTTATTATCTTACAGATTCCGTGGGTCAGGAGTCTGGACATAGCTTAACTGGGTCCTCCATCTTGGGATTTCTCACAAGAGAGACTCTGGGCTGAGGTCTTATCTGGAGGTTTAACTGGGGAAGGATCCACTTGGTTGTTTTCAGGATTCAGCTCCTTACAAGCTGTGGGCCAGAGGTCACCCTTGGTTCCTTGCCACGTGGACCTTTCCATAGGGAAGCTCAAAGCATAGCCACGTGTCTCACCAGAGACAGTAAGAGAGAAGAATCTGCTGGCAAGACAGAAGTATCGCCATATGTGACATCATCACTGAAGTGACATCCCATCTTTTTTGCCTATTCTGTCAGTTAGAAGCAACTAACAGGCCCTGCCCACAGTTCACTAGAGTGACTCTCAGGAGGTGGGGAGTTGGAAGAGTTGTCTTAGTGCCCATCCATCATACTCCCCTAAGATAGGAAGAGGAAGGGCATTTCAGACAGAGGGAACAGCATGGACAAAAGCAGACAGGTTTGAAGTAATGTCATCCATCCTGAAAAATGCAACTAGTTTGATGTGAAGCAAGGAGTCAGAGAGGGAGGGGGGAGATGAAACAAAGCCTCAAAAGTCAAAAGTGAAGAAACTGCCTCCCTCAAGGTGCATTAGATCATCAGACAGCATATAAATGACCTGCCTGCTCCATGTTCTGAACCCAGGATCTCAGGGTTGCGAGGGTGACAGGATGGGGAATCAAGCCAGAATTTCCATAGGATCCAGCAGTCCCATTTATGGGTATAAACACAGGAGAAATGAAAAAGAGACTCTGATGTCTGCACATCCGTGTTCATAGCAGCATTCTTCACAATAGCCAGAAGGTACTGGAAGCAGCCCAAGTGGCCATCGATGGATGAGCAAGATAACAAAATGGGGCACAGGCCAGGCATGTGGCTCAAACCTATAATCCCAGCACTTTGGGAGGCCAAGGCGAGAGGATTGCCTGAGCCTGCAGGTTTAAGACCAGCCTGGGAAACGTGGTGAGACCTTGTCTCTACAATAAATCAAAAAATTAGCTGGGTGTGGTAGTGCACACCCATAGTTCCAGATACTTGGAAGGCTGAGGTGGAAGGATCGCCTGAACCCAGCAGGTCGAGGCTGCGGTGGCCAGGAGCATGCCACTGCCCTCCAGCCTGGGCGACGGAGTGAGACTCCAACTGGAAAAAAAAAAATGGGGCATATCCATACAAGGGAATATTATTCCGCCTGAAAAAAGAAGGAGAGCAAGTGGATTGCCTGAGCCCGTGGGTTCAAGACCAGCCTGGGCAAGTTGGTGAGACCTCGTCTCTACAATAAATAAAAAATTAGCCAGGTATAGTAGCGCGCACCTGTAGTTATGGCTGCTTGGGAGGCTGAGGTGGAAGGATCATCAGAACCCAGCAGGTTGATGCTGGGGTGGCCATGAGTGTGCCACGGTGCTCCAGCCTGGGTGACAGAGTGAGACTCCAACTCAAAAAAAAAAAAAAAAAGGAGATGTCGACACAAGCTACAACATGAATGAACCTTGAGGACATTATGCCAAGTGTAATAAGCCAATCACAAAAATACAAAGACTAGATGATTCCACTTCTTATTTATTTATTTATTTTTTGAGTTGGAGTCTCACTCTGTCGCCCAGACTGAAGTGCAGTGGCCACTCCCGGCCACCGCAGCCTCGACCCACTGGGCTCCGGCAATCCTTCCGCCTCAGCCTTCCAAGTAGCCGGAACCACAGGTGCGCACTGCCACGCCCGGCTAATTTCTTGATTTATTGTAGAGATGAGGTCTCGCTGCCCAGGCGGGTCTCAAACCCGCGGGCTCACGCAATCCACTCACCTCAGCCTCCCAAAGGCGCGGGATTACAGGCTGAGCCACCGAGCCCGGCTGATGATTCCACTTCTATGAGATATCAAGAGTATTCAACTTCCTAGAGACAGTTGTCTCCAGGGGCTGAGGGGAAGGGGAAATGGGAAGATGTTTATTGCATGTAGTTTCAGATTTGCAAAATGAAGAGTTCTGGCCACCGGTTGCATAACAATGTGAATGTACGCAACACTATTGAACTGTACGTTTAAAATAGTTCATATGATAAGTTTGATGTTATACGTATTTTACCACAATTTAAAATTTTTTAAATGTCTTAAAGTGTGTAGTTCTGTGTTCAAAGCAGTGTTTGTTGGCTGTCCATTCCCTCTGGGTGCTGAAAAAGAACCAGCCTGCCACTGAAGAGACCAGCCACCAGGTGGCAGTGTGGGGTTATTCGTTGGGGCCGTTTAGTGCACTTGGCGCGCCTATGGTCCCCCAGGTCCTGAGCTTCAAGTTTGCCTCAAGTTCATCCCCAGGGAGGGAAACAGATGTTAAATAATTCAGTACAATACGATGTATGCAGTGCTGGGGTGAAGAACTGAAAAGACTGATGACTCAGTTGGTGGTAGGAAGCATCAGGGAAGGTTTCCTGGAGAAGGAGAAATGAGAAAGACAAGATCTAGCCATGTTGGATGGGAGGTTTAGGTGAAAGGTGAGAAACAAGGAGAATATTTCATAGTTAAACAACGATGACATGCCAACATCCTAACTATTTGCTTATTTATTTTATCTAGTGCTCCAAATCCCTATGAGATAGGTACTACTATTATTCCCATTTTGCTAATGAGGAAACATGATCAGAGAGGTTATGCCACTCTCTGGCAGTCTCACAGCAAATAAGCAGCAGAACTCCGGTTTTAACCCAGATTCCACAGCCCAGGTCATTCTACCATGCCCATACGTAATCTGTACGCTGGCCAGGTGTGGTGGTTCAATGACTGTAGTCCCAGCACTTTGGGAGGCCAAGGTGGTAGGGCGACTTGAGGCTAGGAATTTGTCATCTATGCCCAGAGGTGGGAGAGACACAGGTGCGTTTGAGGGATGAGAAACAGTTTGATGCAGAGAAAAGACGCTGGGAAGGCCAGCCAGGGCTAGATCCCATGGGCTCTGAGTAGGAGTCACCAGGGATGGGCATAGTCTCATCAGAGCTCCTTTGGTTTGCATTTCAGCGGAGGAGTCACTGGCATGTGACAACCCAGGGCTGCCTGAAAACGGATACCAAATCCTGTACAAGCGACTGTACCTGCCAGGGGAGTCCCTCACCTTCATGTGCTACGAAGGCTTCGAGCTCATGGGCGAAGTGACCATCCGCTGCATACTGGGACAGCCATCTCACTGGAACGGGCCGCTGCCCATGTGCAAAGGTAAGATGCCTCTTTGCTGCAGGGTCCAAGTGGCCGGTCTCGTGGGAACTCCGGACGTGCTCTAAAAAGCCAGGCTTTGTACTTCATTAAATCTTAGATGTCACCATTACTTGATGCACCACTGAGGAAGGAAAAAAACGCTGCCAATTAACTAGGATGCCATATCTTCTTAGCATTTTTATGTTTATTACTAAAAGCTCTCTTTTGAGGTTAGATGTTGGTCATATATCACACTTAGGAAAACGTTAAAATGAAAATGTAAGCAAAGCAAACTGGGTCTGGTGTCTTTAAACTCCCCTAACTTCAGAGTCTGGCACTTTGGAATCATTGTTGACTTCAGTGTCTTTTTTTTTTTTTTTTTTTTTTTTTAGGTACAGAGTCTAACTCTGTCACCCAGGTTGGAGTGTCAGTCAGGCTAGAGTGCAGTTACATAATCATAGCTCACTGCAGACTTGGACTTCTGAGATCAAGCTGTCCTCCCACCTTAGCCTCCCAAGTAGCCAGGACTACAGGTGCACACCACGCCTGGCTAATTTTCTTTTTAATTTTAATGTTTTTGTAGAGCTGGGATGTCACTGCATTGCCCAGGCTGGTCTCAAACTCCTGGCCTCAAGCGATCCTCCTACTTGGTCTCTCAAAGTGCTGGGATTCCAGATGTGAGCCACCTCAGTCCCTATTTTTCCTCTCAATATTGCCCCTGTCCCATCAAAAGCATCGGGGATGCAGAATTCTTTAGACAAGTCCATAAAAAAACTAAAGTCTCTGGTTCTGAGGGTTTGCAAGGCTGGGACCAGGGTGGGGGAGGGGGAGACGAAACACAGAAAGGAGGCAGCCCCGTCCTGGGATGGAGGATCGGCCTAGGCAGTCAGGCTCTGTGGCTCAGCCTGTCATCCAGCGCCTTTGGGAGGCTGAGGTGAGTGGATTGCCTGAGCCCGCGGGTTCGAGACCCGCCCGGGCAGCGAGATCTCATCTCTACAATAAATTTAAAAAAAATTAACCGGGAGTGGTAGCGTGCACCTGTAGTTCCAGCTACTTGGAAGGCTGAGGTGGAAGGATCGCCGGAGCCCAGCAGGTCGAGGCCGCGGTGGCCGGGAGCGGCCACTGCACTCCAGTCTGGGCGACAGAGTGAGACTCCAACTCAAAAAAAAAAAAAAAAGGCTCCGGACGCTGAGCGCCCTAGCGGCCACTCCGACCTCGCGCCAGTGCTTTCCTTCGAGCCAGCCTGCTGACTCCTGCCTAGAGAACGTGCCTACGTTTCCCACCTGTGCACGCCCTTCTCACGAACACGTGGCCCTTGCCAGTGGCTTGCGGGGTCTCCCAGCACTCAGGCGAGCGCTCAGGCGCTTCTGAGGTTGCCGAGGGTCCGGGAGGTCACCCAGGGAGGCACTCGCCTGCTGGCAACTGCTATAACACACCATTCATTTAAGACGCGCCCCTACTCCCCGATGGTGAAAAGTAGGAAAGTTGCAGCTTAGAATTAACGAAAGACTCAGTAATGAAATTAAGTTGTGACACACCAAGTGAAATTCGAATCCATTTATCTGCTTTTGAAGTGCAAAACCAATAATATATTCGGCCGGTGTCCTGGCTCAACCCTGTAGTCCCAGCACACTGGGAGGCAGGGGTGGGAGGATTGCTTGAGCCCAGAAGTTCAAGGCCAGCCTGGGAAACATAGCAAGACCTCATCTCCGTGAGAAATTAAAAAATTAGACAGGCGTGGTGGCTCGTGCCTGTAGTAGCTTCAGGGAGCTGAAGCTTCAGGTTCGCCCGAGCCCAGGAGGTCAAGGCTGCAGAGAGCTGTGATCATGCCTCTGCTTTCCAGCCTGGGCAAAGAGTGAAATCTCAATTTAATAATAATAATAATAATAATCTGCCTTTGAGGATCAGGCAAGCTCTGAATTCACTCCCCAGGGGGGCCAGAAGTATGAAGTTTTACATTTCTGCTCAGGAACCCACAGCTTCAGTGGCTCCCCAGATGCCTTATTCATAAACCTTGGCTTTAAGACTTAAAATCACCTTTCCAGCCAGCTTTTCCCCTCCTCGGGATAGGTCTAAAAGAATTGACAACAGGTATTCAGACAAGTACTTCTACATGAATGTTTATAGCAGCATTACTTATAATAGCCAAAAGATGAAAACAGCTCAAATATTCAGCAACTGATGAAACAAAGTGAAATGTGGCACATTCATACCATGGAATATCATTTAGCCATAAAAAGGAACGCAGTCCTGGCAAGCTGCAACATGAATGAACCTCAAACACACGACTCTCGGTGAAGGAAGCCAGACACCAAGGTCAGTGTTTCATGATCCCATGTATATGAACTATCCAGGATAGGTACATGTACAGAGACAGAAAGCAAATTAGCAGTGGCCAGGGGTCGTAAGGCAGGAATGGGAAATAACGGCTTACTAGGTGCCGGGTTTGTTTTGAGGGTCATGGACATATTTTGGGACTAGATGGAAGTGATAATTGCACAACATAGTGAATGTATTAAATGCCTCTGAATTGTGCACTGTAAAATGGTTAAGTGTATGTTGTGGATTTTACTCATATTTTTAAAAATTCCCCTGAATTGCCTCATTTAAGCCTCCTAACCACAGTCTAAGATAGGTGAGCCATGTTACCCATTTTACAGCTAAGGAAGGAGAAGCTCAGAGAAGTTAAGTGACTTTCCCAAAGCCACACAGCTAGTACAAGGCAAAGCTGGGACTTGAACCCACGTGTCCTGTCAATGTCCTGCCTCTTGCACAGCAGGCTACCTGCAGGCAGACTTCAGGGGTGTAGGAAGGCCCCCAACCAACCTGACTCCCCAGCATCAGAATCACCCAGGGTGCCCATTAGAAGCACACCTCTGAATCTACCCCATATCTAACAAATCAGAATCACTGGGAGGGAGGGGGCCTGGAATAAGCATTTTAAGGAACTCTCCATTATTCAAATGTACTTCGAATTTGAGAACTCCTTAAGGCAGTGGTTTCAAAACATAAGGTGCAAACATAAACAGAGTCCTGGCCCCTTTTCATGGAGATTCCGACTGGCTGGGTCTAATTTATAACTAGCCCCACAGGCGAATCGTATCATCAGCCAAACGCAGAAAACATGACGTGAGAGTTGTGATTTAATCTCACCTGGTATCTTCTGTGAAGAGGAAGGTGTGAATAAAAAAATAAATAGGTCAGCTGCAATAGTTTACACCTGTAATCTCAGCACTTTGGAAGGCCGAGGTGGGAGGATCTGTTGAGCCCAGGAGTTTGAAACCAGCTCCCCGGGCAACATCAAAGGTAGTTGGGCTTGGTGGCACATGCCTTTAGTCCCAGCTATCCAGGAGGCTTTCCAGGAGGCTAAGGCAAGAGAATCGTCTGAGCCCAGGAGATTGAGGCTGTGGTAGGCCATGATCGTGCCACTGCACTCCAGCCTAGGAGACATAGTGAGACACCCCCACCAACTCAAAAATATATAAATAAACAAATAAATAGCTTTTAAAAAGAATAATCTCCCCCGGTGTGAAGCAGGGGCTTACCCTATGAATGGCAAAGACTTGCATAGCAGGGAATGAGAGGTCCTTTTGAAGAGCAGAGAATGGTAAGAAAGGAGCTGTTGGCCAGGCTCAGTGGCTCAGCCTGTCATCTCAGCACTTTGGGAGGCAACTTGGCAAGACCTCGTCTCTACAATAAATCAAAAATTAGCCGGGTGTGGTAGCGCACGCCTGTAGTTCCAGCTACCTGGAAAGCTGAGGCGGAAGGATCACCGGAGCCCAGCAGGTCGAGGCTGCGGTGGCCGGGAGCAGCCACTGCACTTCAGTGTGGGCGAAAGAGTGAGACTCCAACTCCAAAAAAAAAATTTTAAAAAGGTAGCTGTTAGCTTTTGAGACAGCTGCCTGCCCTCCTTCCCCCATAATTTTGACTAAGCCCAACCTGTATTTGAATTTGCTTTCGGTAGCACAGGAAGCCTGCTTGGTTAGCGTTAAACCTGCTTTCCTGAGTAAAGATCTCGTGTAAATCCCCTGAGTGTTATGTGGACATTAATAAAAGTTAAGTTAGTGCTGTTGGTAGGTTTTCTGCGGGGGGGAAAAATTAGCAGGGTTTGTTTTTTAAGAAACCTAAATAAGAAGACCAGGAGACGAGCCATTTTGGACTGTACACATGTTTATCTGCCAATTGTCTTCTTAAATCCTTGAATTTTTACAAAAAGTATCTCACAGAGCGAGTAGAAAAAAAAAAATCAGAGTTTGAAAATAAAGTTATAGACCGGGCTTGGTGGCTCAGCCTGTAATCCCAGCTCTTTGGGAGGCCAAGGTGAGTGGATTGACTGAGTCCTTGGGTTCGAGACCTGCCCGGGCAACTTGGCGAGACCTCATCTCTACAATAAATCAAAAAATTAGCCGGGCGTGGTAGTGCACACCCATAGTTCCAGGAAGGCTGAGGCAGAAGGATCGCTGGAGCCCAGCAGGTAGAGACTGCGGTGGCCAGGAACATGCCACTGCACTCCAGCCTGGGCGATGGAGTGAGACTCCAACTCAAAAAAAAAAAGAAAAGAAAAGAAAGTTATATCCGATTTTTCCCCACCCCTTCCTTTCCTCCTTAGAAGCCAGTACTAATCACTTGAATTTCCAGTGTTTCCCTATAAGTTCCCTAGACATGCATGACTCAACAAAATTGGAAAGAAGGGAGGGGTTGTTTGTTTTTCTTTCACTAAAAAAGGAGGGGGGTCATATCATAGTGTGCTCTGTGTTTTACTTTTTCTCCACTGGCAGAGACATTTTCTTAATGTTTTTTAAATGCAACTCCATTTTTTTTGTTTTTCTCACTCTGTCACCCAGGCTAGAACATAGTGGCGTGATCATGGCTCACCATGGCTACGACCTCCTAGGCTCAGGCGATCCTGTCACCTCAGTCCACAAAGTAGCTGGGACTACAGGCTTCCACCACCCTGCTCAGCTAATTTTATTTGTTGTAGAGACGGGGTCTTGCTATGTTGCCCAAGCTGGTCTCAAACTCCTGGGCTCAAGCGATCCTCCTGTCTTGGTCTCCCAAAGTACTGGGATTACAGGAGTGAGCCATCGAGCCTGGCCTAGTCATCTTATTTTTTTAATAGCCGTCTACCATTCCACACTATGCACATTTCCTAGGACATTCAGCCTTCCTACTGGTTCTCTTCCCGTTTTTCATTTGTTTTGCTTTGCCCCAAAACATCCTTGCCCATGAATCCTTGGATGCTGAAGCTTTTCATCCTGCAGGACAGACTCCTCAAAGTAGGGTGGGTGGTATGGACAAAGGTCTGTGGCTATTGAGTGGTTGTGGGTGTTGCCAGATTTTTTCTCACAATGGAAGCAAGGCATACTCCCTCAATGTGGGCTCATGTTCGCACTGGATGTTACCCTTTTTTTAAATTTTAATGTTGCCAATCTGATAGAAAACTGCAATTATCATCAAAAACACATATATGCCCCCCAAAACAGGAAAAGATGCTCAGTGTTGTAGGTTATCCCTGAAGCCTCTGTATAAGTATGAGAGCCCCACAAGGTGACTCAGCCATCGTCTCTCACCTTCTTCTGGAGGCACAACAGAATTCCTAGAGGAGAGGCTCTTTCTGGCCCCTCTCTGCCCCTTTGATTTCCACTCCGGAGACTCCGCCCTTCCAACACTGCAAGGATGTGATAAATCACTTCTTCCTCCAAAAAAAGGTGGGGTCCATGACATTGTCTGGAGTTGGGGAAGCCACTCGGTGCCATTACAAGGCCACTGACTAGGACTCAGGGATCCCTGGCACCACCCTGGCTCTGCTATGGACCACTGTGTGGCCTCGAGTAAGCCACCCTCCCTCTCCGACCTTGGTTTCCCTTTCTGTGAAATTATGGGGTGAGACCAGGTCAGTGTTTCTAGAGAAGAATCTGTGGAACAGCTGGCTGCCTCAGAATTCCTGGGGCGCCTGTGAGAGCTGCAGAAGTCCTCTCCCACAGTTATACCCCGGCAGGTTCCAGAAAGGGCCCGGAAACCTGCATTTTAATACACGGACACAGGGCTTCAAGGGCCACAAGATTCAATGTCTCCTTAGAGGTCTAAGATTCCGTGGAAGTTCATACATTCCCAGACACTCAACCACGGTCCAGCTCACGTCCTGAGTGGTGGCACCCACCTCGATCTTTCCAGTTTCTTTTTGCCAATACTGCAGGTATGTCTGCATTTAGCCAGCTCACTTTTCAACTGGTTTTGTGGTCCTCATCTGATGATGATAACCTAAGTCAGAGAGTGACTTTAGCAAGGCACTCATCAGGAAGACTTGGGATTTGAGACATGAGTGTCACTAGGCCTTTGGTGATCACTCCTTCCTGACCCCTAATACTACAGTCTTTCCATCTGAGCCCTTCATGCTGGAGTTTTGCATTCTTAAAAGAAACACCCGGCCGGGCTTGGTGGCTCAGCCTGTAATCCCACCACTTTGGGAGGCCGAGGCAAGTGGATTGCCTGAGCCCGCCAGTTCGAGACCCACCCGGGCAACTTGGTGAGACCTCGTCTCTACAATAAATCAAAAATTAGCCGAGTGTGGTATTGCGCGTCTGTAGTTCCCGCTACTCGGAAGGCTGAGGCAGAAGGATTGCCGGAGCCCAGCCAGTCGAGGCTATGGTGGCCGGGAGCGTGCTGCTGCCCTCCAGTCTGGGCGACAAAGTGAGACTCCAACTCAAAAAAAAAAAAAGAAAGAAAAGAAACACCCATCCTTGTTAGTATATTTTGTATGAAGGCCAAAGCATGGAACACTGGTCCCCATCACCTGAAACCTCCAGAGAAGTTTTGCAGGAAATATGAATAAATGAAAATTGTGTTACATGGAATACAAGGCCTAATCAAATAACGATGGAATAAAAATGAGATTAGGAAAATTTACATCAATATATGCTTCAAAGCAGGAAGACAGTTTCACCTCTGGTTGGCTTTTTGTATAAAGGTCCTGAGTCTGAGGGTTCGTCTGTGATTTATTCTACATGAAAGCAGTGAGAAGACCCTCTAACCACATATAGGTCAGAGCAGAGGCCACCGGGCATGATGTCTCACATCTATAATCCCAGCACTCTGGGAGGCCGAGGCAGGAGGATTTCTTGAGCTCAAGAGTTCAAGTCCAGCCTAGACAATATAGCAAGACCTCATCTCTACAAAAACTTAAAATTTAAAAATAGCCAGGCGTGGTCACGTGTGCCTGTAGTCCCAGATACTTGGGAAGCTCAGGTGGAAGGAAGGAAAGAAGGAAAAGAGAGAGAGGGAGAGAGGGAGGGAGGGAGGAAGCAAAAAAGGAAGGGAAAAAGCAGAGGCAAGAGTAAGTAAAGCAGTCCTAATTTAAATCCTGCCTTCATCACTTAGAAACTGTGTGATGTCAGAGAAGTCGCTTCACTTCTTTGAGCCTCTGTTTGCTCATCTGTAAAATGGGGATGATAATAGTACCAAATTAACGAAGTTGTTGGGAGAGTTAAATGAGTGAATGTACCTAGAGATCGACACGATGTCGGACACCTGGGGAGTGCTCAGTCTGCTGTTCACTGTTGCTCTTCCGTCTTACCTACCTCATCTTTTCTTAGGAACTTAGGAAGTGAAGAATCCAGGTATTTTCTGAGTATAGTAGTCCAAGACAAGTGAAAACACAGCACTAACTTTGGCACAGCGTGAGCTTTTGCATTTAGTTGTGTTGTTGTTGTTTTGTTGTTGTTTTGTTGTTGTTGGCCTCATCTCATGCAAACAGTGGATTCACTTTACATTGATGAATGCTTCCTGATTTCTCTTTCAGTTAATCAAGACAGTTTTGAACATGCTTTAGAAGGTGAGTTCCAGCATGAAAAATCCAATAAATCAAGTCAATAGCAGACAACAAGGGCAGGTTCTTGAATATCTTTATTCAGATGCTTGAAAAAATAAAAAAACACAAACTCTGCCTTCACACAGCCAAAGATAACTTCCAAACAAATAATGTTGTTAGGGGAAAAAATGGGATGTGCAACTTAGGGTCCCAAATATCACCTGAAAGGGACTTGACACCAGTTCTATACATGGTGATGACAAAGAGGTAAGGAAAACCGAGGGGCCACGGGCCTGAGAAAGGCACGACCCTACTGTCAGACTTGTCATGATGCCATTCAAGGACGCCTCACCTTCCACGCAGAGCGTCCTGGTTTCCGGAGGGAAAGGTTTGCTCCAGGAGCGTGCAGCGGTCCATTTCCCCCTTTTTCTTCCCCAACATGCTCATCCCTTCTCTCTCTCTCCCTCCTTTCTGTTCTTCTTTTCTTAGGAATCCCCCAGTGAGGTCGATTAATGCGGAACAGATGTTCAAAGCTATCCAGGATTTTCTTTTTGTTTTCGTTTTCATCTTGTGATTCCTTCCCTTTCCAACCCTTGCCATGCTCAAAGCATTCTGTGTTCTATGTCACCGCTATCAAACTTCATACAAAGCCACTCGCCTGGGCTGTGATGTCAGAAACCATATATTATTTCATTTCTAGTGGATGCGGGGAGTGGGCTGGCAGCTGATGGTAGCATATTTCATCTGTAGACCTAAGCAGTTTTTGAATTTTAATAACATAGCAATGACGTGTTTCTTGTGTTATTTATTAAAAATCATTTTAATTTCTTGACTTATAAAAACAAAAATAACATTACTCCATTTTCTAAAAGTCTTTAAGTCAATCAAGCAGTGTTCATTACTGTTTCTGGAACCATCTTTAGCTTTCTGGCACGAATGAGCCATTCAGCATCTGGGGCTATGGGAATTACATTTCATTAGTTGCTGTTCCTGGTCACGGACAACAATTTAACCCAAGCAGGTAGAGCCGGGGGCTCTAATGTAAGAGAAGGGAGGAGCATGGGTTAGCCAGTCCACTTGGAAAATAGAGGCCATTTCGTGCTATTCTCCACTGAGAGCATCCGTTTCCTGCCTTTTGCCAATCAATGAACCATGGAACTGTCTCAAGGGCTGGGTTGCTCAGTGATTACGAGTGCCATTGGAATGCCTGGTACTCACGTGTCCATCATGGGTATCAGGATTGATTTTTCACACCCCATAAGTGGTGGTTAATGGATTATAGATTGGTGTTCAGCTACGCTCTGTTAGATGTGACCGTGGAGAATGGCAGAAGAAACCTGGAGGCCAAGCTTCTAGAAGAGACGTGGGGTCCCCCTTCCAGCTGTGCTGGGAAAACACCCCCAGCCTCTGCAACAGCTTTCGTGGTTCTTGCTATTGCCACAAACAATGGGAGGTCGTGGGAGTCCAAGAGTGTGCAGTGGTGGCCTCTGGGAATCAAACCTGGGCCTTTGCAGTTGGGGTGTCATTGGGGTGTGCAGGATTGAGAGCTGCCCCAGATGCTCAGAGCCCGCTCCTAGTCTGGAGAATCTGATTCAACAGTTCTGGAAGGGGCCTGCCAGGCTGGGTGCCCTCTCCCCAGGTGAGGACAGGTTTGGGAACCCCTTAGAAACCTGGTGGCTGGCCCCAGCACCATCCAACTCCCAGACATACAGGCAGCCCAGACCTGCCCACCACCCCTGTGTCTCGGGCCCACATCCATTCCCATTTCTCCTTGCCATTCCATGGAATGTCCAGCAAATCCTCCCTCCCAGTTACCTACTTGGGATTTCCTCCATGTCACCCCTTGCATTGAATTGTAAAGAGATTTCAACTATAGTCTACCCCAAATGGGTACAGTATAATTGAGGGTTCAATCAGTGTGATTCTCGGCAGCCCCTGTGGCTGTCCCACCCAAGGGTGAGTCTGGGCTCCCTTGCACAGGACAGGCACCTTTCCTCTGGTCTCCGGAGACAGACCTCCAAGGTCTAAGGCTCTGGGACATCAGCTCTTTGAGTAGGTACAGAACTGGGCAGGTGGGAGCACACCTGGGAGCCAGGTGCTGGGCAATGAGGGGCCTCACTGGCTCTTGTGTTCAGTAGCAGAAGCGGCAGCAGAGACGTCACTGGAAGGAGGGAACATGGCCCTGGCGATCTTCATCCCGGTACTCATCATCTCCTTGCTGCTGGGAGGAGCCTACATTTACATCACAAGGTAGGGGGCTGGGGGGAGGGGTGCACCAGGCACTCAGCCCCCAGCGTACAGGGGATGGGATTGGCCACCCCATGAGCCTGAGCTGGAGGGAGTGGTGTGGCATCTGCGTGATTGCAGGGATGGTGGGTTCAACTCAGCTCTGTGGGATAAGTATTGATACTGGGCACCTACCAAGCCTCCTTGACTGGAGGGTTCAGTAGGCAGCAGCAAATAAGGCAGACACCATTCCTGCCCTTGAGGAGCTTATGGTTTAGTGGAGGCCATACCATGACACACTACCAGGCATGTCCACCCACCCATTCCATCACTCACTCACAAATAAGTATTGACAGTCTGATGTGTACCAGAGCCATAGCACTCACATTTGATAAGAAAAAAGATATTAAAACATGCCTAAGGTAGTCACTAATTTACTCAGATTTACAATTATTGAGTGCCTACTATATGCCAGACAGTTTTCTAATCTCCGGAAACATCATGTGTGAAAATAGAAGGAAATGTTTGCCCTCCTGGGTTGCATTTTACTTTTTGTTTTCCCACTCAGACTGCGTTGGGTTGCATTTTAAATGGGGTAAGTTGAGGTGGCCCTACCCCATTTAAAAGTGTTGCTTGAACAAGGACTCGAAAGCAATAATGAGTAACTCATGTAGATACGTGGGAGAGGAGGGTTTTAGGCAGAGAACCAGCATGTGCAAAGGCCCCGAGGTAAGCATGTGCCTATCACAAATTGTCCCCACCCTTGAGGAGTTCACAGTCTAATAAATTATAACACACTAAAATAAACACGGTGACAGAAAGATGGATGTGGTGAGTAACTGAGGAACCACCTTTAAAAAGGTGGTCAAGGATGTTTAAGATGACATGGCATATAGAAGGTGCTCAATAAATGCTCATGATTGTTGTTGCTGCCCTTTGCATTAAAGAGGGACTTGAATCCCCTTACACGTGAAAACAGACTAAGCTCCACCCCATTCCCAGCGAGCAGAGGTCACAGGGCTGTAGTTATCCCTACCTGGGTTATGAGTAGAGAGCTATTATGATTGCTATTTTCTTTCTTTTCTTTTTTTTTTTTTGAATGGGAGTCTCACTCCGTCACCTGGGCTGGAGTGCAGTAGCACACTCACAGCCACCCCAGCATCAATCCACTGGGGTCCAGCGATCCTTCCACCTCAGCCTTCCAAGTAGCTGGAACCACAGGCACGCGTTAATTTTTTGGTTTATTGTAGAGATGAGGTCTCGCCAAGTTGCCCAGGCTGTTCTCGAACCCGTGGGCTCAGGCAATCCCCTCACCTCTGTGTCCCAAAGGGCTGAGATTACAGACTTGAGCCACCACGCCCGGCCTGTGATTGCTGTTTCTGCCTGCAAGAGGCTATTTGCATAGTTGCCATTCACGGAGGCAGCACAGCTAGCGAAGTGGCACCTACTGTTCCTGCTCGGCATTGTCAGATGTCTCCTTGTGGCAAAGTAACTTCTCTCTCTCTTCTTGCCTCTCCCCTAGATGTCGTTACTACTCCAACCTCCGCCTGCCTCTGATGTACTCCCACCCCTACAGCCAAATCACCGTGGAAACTGAGTTTGACAACCCCATTTATGAGACAGGGGTGAGTGGGTCTCTCCCGGACTCTTCCCTTTTTGCTCTGCATTTGCCAACAACAAGACTGAGGATTTTGCTTCCTTTTGCTCCCAAGAGGTTCGGCCAGTGGTCCTGTCTCATCCCCACCAGCCCTCGCCTCTTGTCATAACTGCTGGGAGAACTCAGCTCTCTGTGTGAGTGATTGGCACTGACCATGAACCTGTGAGGCTGTGAATCTCCACAGAATGCCCACAGGAAGAAGGGGCTGCACCCAAGACCTCAGACAGAGGACCACTGGTGGCCTGGTGGCAGTGTGCAGCATTTCCACACATCCTATTGAGCTCAGCTCCTTAGTCAATGGCCATGTGCAGTAGTCCTACACATCTGAGTGACAAGCCCTGTGCTGGGTACTGGGGACATAGTCATGAACCAAACAGAACAGATCCTGAGCTTACAGTCTTGCAAAGGGGACAGGTGTCAATAATAATAACAGCAATGATAATAATAATAATCATAATAATAATATGTATCATATGTTGGTTACTTTGAATGCATAATCTCCTTTTTTTTTCCAAGTCAGACTCTGTCACCTGGGCTGGAGTGCAGTGGTACAATCACGGCTCACTGCAGCCTTGACTTCCTGGGCTCAGGCTATCCTCCTGCCTCAGTCTCCTGAGAAGCTGGGACTATAGGCATGCACCACTATGCCCAGCTACTGTTTTGATATTTTGTAGAGACAAGGTCTCGCTATGGTGTCCAGGATGATCTTGAACTCCTGGGCTCAGGCAATCCTCTCACCTCGGCCTCCCATAGTACTGGGATTACAGGTGTGAGCCACAACACCCAGCCAATTTTGATTGCATAATCTCACTGAATCCTTGCAGCTCTTTGTCATAGGTTCCACAGATATTTCTAATAGATTGATGAGATCACTGAGGTCCAGAGTGAGAAAAAAATGACCGGGCCAAGGTTGCACACAGTCAAGATGCACAGCCTGGAGCAGGACGCAAATTCAATGTGATGATCTTAGTCATGACGCTCTCTTGCCTCCCTTGACCCTCAGACAATCAAATGTGCCCATGAATATCTTGATTACAATAAATGATCATTTTTAACGACCATGAAGAAAAATGAGACTGAGTACTATGAGAGTGTATGATAGGGGATGATTGCAGGGGATTAGGGATGACATCTCTGATAAAATGAGAGTATAAAGCTGAGATCTGGGAGGTGGGTGGAATTTGGATGCTCAGCTGAAGAAGATACCAGGCAGAAGGGCAAGCATGTGCAAAAGCCCAGAAGCACATGTGAAAAAACTGAAAGGCTGGACATGACTGCAAAACCACCACCCTTGAAATTCACTATGTAATGATGTGCAGTTGTCTCCCAATATTTGAGGGCATAACTTGACTTCTTCCTTGTCCCTGCTAAGTTTCCTTGACTACCACCTCCTCTGATCTTTTAGTTATCTATTGAGGTGTGAGACTATTACTACAAATGTAGGGGCCTCAAACAGCACACACTTCTTATCTCATAGTTCTGCAGGTCAGGAATCCAGGTACAGTTTAGCTGGGTCTTCTGCTTCAGGGAAAACAGGCTACAGTCAAGGCATCAGCTGGGGCTGCAGTCTCATCTGAGGCTTGACCAGGGAAGAATCCACTTCCAAGTTTATGTGGTTCTTGGCGGCATTCTGTTCCTTTTGGGGTGCTGGAATAGGGTGCTCAGTTTCTTGCAGGCTGTCACCTAGAGGCCACACTCATTTCCTTTCCATGTATTCCTCTCCATAGAGCAGCTCGTGACATGTAGCTGGCTTCCTCAAAGTCAACCAGAGAGGGTGTCTCCTCACAAGATGGAAGTCACAATCCTGCCATGTAAACACAGGCATGATATCTTAGCACCTTTGTATTCTACTAGTTAGAACCCAATCACAGGTCCTGCCCACTCGTAAGGAGAGGAGACCACACAGGAGCACGAACCCCAGAAGATTAATATCATGGGGACCCCCATGGAGTCTGCTCACCATGCTCCCATCTGCCATGAAGCATAGATGTCATTGTATTATTATGTTGTCCCAGCAGGAGCTAGAGGCTTCCATTAAACCCGTGACAGTGACCACATCCAGGGCTGAGTCTGTGACTTCCTCTATCTGGAATACACTACACACTCCGTAAATATTGGAGAAATCAAGCTGGTTGCTACCCACATAGTACAGTCATTTTACATGGCACTGGGAAGAGCAGGGCAAATGTTATTTTGCATTCTATGAGGCTTGCTTTCAAACCTGAAGAAAGGTCAAGCTGATGAAAAAGAGCATTTTAGAGACTAGACCTTATCAATACTTATTAGCAGGGTGTATCCATGACCTAGACCTATAATAATGCTGAGTAACAAACATTCCCCAAACTCAGTGGCTTAATGCAACAAGCATTAATTTGTTCATCAGTCTGTGAGGCATGTGTAACAGTATCGCTACAAATTTAGAGGCCTGAAACAGCACACAATTTTTATCTCATAATTTCTATAGGTCAGGAATCCAGGTACAGCTTAGCTGAGTCTTCTGCTTCAGGGTTCACAGGCTACAGTCAGGGCTCAGCTGTGGCTGCAGTCTCATCTGAGACTGACCAGGGAAGAATCCACTTCAAGCTCAGCTGGATGGTAATCCTGGCACTGGCTGGTTGTTGGCTGGGTGACTTAACTCTGTTCTGTGTGTTCTTCATCTTCCTGCAGAGACTAAAGAGTAGAGGACATGCCCTGCTCATGGTGGCAGCAAGAGGGCAAGATACAAGCACCTGTTTTGTGCCGTTTTCTTATAACCCATTGGCAGAAGCAAGGCAGGGCCAGAGAGAAAATGCACTGCAAAGTCATGACCAAAGGCACAGACATGAGGGTGTGAAGAACTAGAATCATGAATGTATCACTCTAGCACACAAGAGTTTCACAAACCTGTGCTTCTCTCTCTTGCAGGAAACCAGAGAGTATGAGGTCTCTATCTAGGAGAACTACGCTTTGGAATGGGACTTACAGACATGAACTCAACCTCAATCTCCTCGAGACATTCATCCAGAGACCATGTGACATTTGACGGAAACCCCAGTGTCAATTGTCTTTTCTTTAGACTCTTGATTGAAGATTTACTGTTTTCTTCACTGTATTTATTATATTTAAAAGTGAAATAGGTGTGGTTGGATGTATTGCACCCACAGCTATATTCATATCACAGCCTCGATTCTGAAGGCAGGTGGAAGACTTGCAAAATGGCAGACAGCAGCAGAAACAAACAAAAGCAAAAGACAACAGCAGATAGAGTTTCTCCCATCAGCAATGCCATCCGAAGGCTGTAACAGATTGCCTGCATCTCTGGGATCCATGCCCGTGGTGTTTTTAGTACAAATCTAAGTCCCAAGATTAGGTTGGAAAGAGTATTTCGTGTTGGTTTAGCTTGGGTTAGAATTGAGCATGGGTACTGAAACCAATTTTTGGAGATCTATTCCAAAACAAATTCTGTGTCCTCTCTTCCAACTTTACTAGCCTCTAAAAGGTTCTTCCAAATCTTCCTCCCTCTCATGACCCTTCTGAAGGCAGCAAAGGTGTGACATAAATGTTGTCTTTTATCACCCTGGCCTCACTGGACATTGACAAAATAATTACATGTTTTCTTTCTAAAATGGTGATAAATGATCAAAGGAAATTTTTCAGAGAAAATTAGAGATTTGAGAGTTCCAATGAAGAATTGGATGAGAGAGGACATTGGGTGAGGGAACTGAGTTAATAAAACGCTCTTTTCCTTGACATTCCTTCAAAAATGAAAAAACAGGTAATTGATGCTGCAAGAGCCAGAGTCGATCACAGCAGGCCACCTACAAGCTGTGATAATAAATCCATAAGCTCCACTCATGTCATTACAAGGGTTTTTGATGGGAGCAGGGAGCTGGAGGCATTTTCTGTAATTCATGGGTGAGCTCTGTTTTTTCTCCTGCAGTTTTGGGAAGTCTTAGCCCCCAAAATAGGGGAGACTCAAGTGTCCCGTTTCTCTAAATGGTATCACCTTCAGAATATACTTGCTATCAAGTATTTCAGGGGGAGCGAGTGTCCTGTGAGAAGAAACTACTTTTCGGTTCTCTGAAGCTCTGAATGTTGAGTGGTGGCAGAAATGCAGACTGCGGAGGTATAGAAAACAGGGGAAGGGGATTAAAACCACAGCAAACCATGCAACTATCCACATCCTCCGATCTGAACATCAGTGAGGACAGAAGGAGCAATTTCAGGCCAGAGAGGAATTCATAACACCACATCTAATCACATGGGCGCCTTTCCATTTCACCAGGGTCTTTTTGCCTCAACCCAGTGAAACTGGTGAGTGCGTGACTCTTTGGAAGATTTTGTTTCTAAATAGAGATATAAAGAAAAGGCAGAGGTGAGGATGCAGGGAAGGAATGGTATGTGTGAAGTGGATTTACCTGGGACTGGTGATGTGTGAAGACAGCCGATGGCACACAGGCTCAGTGGCATTAGGAGCCCTCTCTGACACCCTTTCGTTAATACTCTCTAGAATTATTTTAAATCTGCTGGTTTTCAAATCTTCCTGGCTGCCATGCTGTAGAGATAATGGCAAGGAGTTCCCATTTAGGTGGTGGTTTTGGAAGCATCTTGAGCAGGATAGGGAAGTTGGTTTTACACAAACACACTCACACACACACACACACTCCTTGCCTGCAGGAGCTCGGACCTCAATCCTGGGGGTCTGAAGCCAGAATATTTTCCTTCTGCCAGAAAAGAATCCTCCATATATGCTTCTAAGAGCATGCATTTGTGGCGCGCGGCAAGACAGAGCTAAAGGCTACTTTCCAGCACCCAAGACCCATCCCATTTAATGCAAGAACCAGAAAAGACGTGTTCCAGGCCATTAGTGAATGATGTCATGTTTGGAGAAAGACAACAACACCAATAATGTAACATTTTTTAAAAGGCAGAATCCAATCCTCGCTTTTATTTCCATTGGATGCTTTTTCTAACCCTAACCCTGGGTCACCTAAAATGAAGATCTTGATGAATGATGTTTGATTTTAGAACATATGCTGGTTATGTAAAAACTAAACATTTGCCTTTTGTAAAGACTGAAAAAATATGAATCTGTATTCTAACCCTGATCCCTAAAACTTGCTGGGCCATGGTCCAAGTATCCTTATTGGCTACTGAAGAGATAGAAAAGGTGTTGGCTTTTTTTTTTTTTTTTTTAAAGAAGACCAATGTCATAGTTCTGTCTTAGTAGTACAGCATCTGTAACCATGTTTTAAAAGTTTGTTTTAGCCTAGAGATGGATCATACAAGTTCAATGATGTACAGTGTGATTGAAAAGACAGCTTGGTGTCTATTTCCTTCTTTTTAAAATACCTGAATGTGTGTTTGTAATATGTAAAGGTAAAGGTAAAAAAAAAAAAAAATCATAGTGCCAAAAAATGTATGAGAATCTCATCACAGTTCATATATGTCTGTTTTTATAAGATCAATATTAAAACCCATTGGGATTAAATATTTTTGAATAGGATACACTCTTGAGAAACTTGAGAACGGACTAAGCCTTCCTACAAGCCACTCTTTGTTTTTAAAACAGTGAGGAAATACGTTTACAGAGATTGTGAGCTTCAGAGAATGCATGTGACGGCGTGGATTACATACTAATTCCTATGAGCTGTATCTGTCAGCCACCACCTTGTGCTTTAAAGATGCACACACTCGGCCCTCTTTGGCTTGAAGCTCCGTTTTTTGCTTTGTTTTTGTTTTTTTGTAGAATTATTTCGCTAACAAATATTCTGATCACTCCCTGATAACCGTCCTTACTTAGTGTCATAGATGCGCTTTAACTGTGATCTTTGGAACTAGCTCTTTGAAGAGCCCACAGAACCTCAGGCTGATAGCTTTGAAAACTGCCAAACAGCCCGGAAGGAAGCAAAGTAACTGCATAACCAGGATGGTTATGTAAGAGGAAGTGATTTGGCAAACATGCAGGTAGCTTTAGGCTGAGGCATGAGCCTCAGGCCAAAGGGCCCTTTCCTTGGTTGCTCAAGGTCATTCGAAGGGCATGAACTTGGTGAGGCGTGCTGGGTCATATGAGGTCAGATATTACTGAGTTGTTCAGCAACCCCAAAGGTAGGCTTTCTCCTGGGAAATTTTCATTTTATCACCAAACAGAATTAAACGCAAAACAAACTTTCTAAGCTAGAATAATGAAATTGAGTCATTTTCCACTTTGTATATATTGATGCTAATAAAACAGATGAAAAATAGTTAAATGTATGGGAATTTTGTTACCAAAACACTCCAGGATGGCACCCAGTGGGATATTTCCCATTTCTGGGGCTTGGGTTAGGGTAACACTTACCGATACTTTGAATGTTGAGATAAGACTGCCCACTCTGGAATGGGTCCAGGAACATTCTGGGAATGTCTGGAATAAGACAGGTCTGAAGGGACTTCCATGATCAGATACACCACCATCTTCCCTGTCTTAGCTCAGGGTACCATAACAAAGTACCATAGAGGCCAAGGGTGGTGTCTCACACTTGTAATTTCAGCACTTTGGGAGGCCAGGGCAGGAGGCTCACTTAAGCCTAGGAATTTGAGACAAATCTCAGAAACACAGCAAGACCCCATCTCTACAAAAAAAATTTTTTTAAATAGCCGGACATGGTGGCACAGGCCTGTAGTCCCAGCTACTCAGAAGGCTGAAATGGGAGGATCGCTTGAGCCCAGAAGTTGGAGGCAGCAGTAAGTTATGACTGCTGCACTGCAACCCAGCCTGGGTAACAGAGACCCCATCTCCAAAAATAACAACAAAATACCGTAGCCTGGGAGGTTCAAACAACAGGAATTTATTTGTTAAAGTTCTGGAGGCCGAAAAGTCCCAGATCAGGGTGCTAATCAATTCAGTTCCCTGTGACGGCTCTCTGCCCAGCTGGTCCATGACCTTTTTGCTGTTGTCACATGGTAGAGGGAGGGAGGGAAGGAGGGCAGGAGGGAGGGAGGGAGCGAGAGAGGGAGGGAGAGAAAGATCTTTCTCTTTTTAAAAGTATTAGGGTAGGGCAGGGTGAGGGTGAGATTGATGGAGAGAGAAGCGCAGTACCCCCACCCCCCACAGCCGGCAATCCAGAGATCAAATTAAAAGTAAATGCAAGCTGGGTTCGGTGGCTCAGCCTGTAATCCCACGCCTTGGGAGGCTGAGGTGAGTGGATTGCCTGAGCCCGCAGGTCCGAGACCCGCCTGGGCAACTTGGCGAGACCTCATCTCTACCATAAATTAAAACATTAGCCGGGCGTGGTAGCGCGTGCCTGTAGTTCCAGCTACTTGGAAGGCTGAGGCGGAAAGATCGCTGGAGCCCAGCAGGTCGAGGCTGTCGGCCACTGCACTCCAGTCTGGGTGACAGAGTGAGACTCCAACTCAAAAAAAAAAAAAAAAAGTAAATGCAAAGAATTGCAACACAATGAGGTGAGGGAAGAAAAGATTTATTTAAGAAAGCTTCAACCCCCACAGACAGGGAGTGGGCCTACACTCTAGGTGAGTGTGGCCTCATAGCTCCCCAAAGCACTGGCTTAAATCCTTTCCTTGGAGATGTTGCACGTGACTGCCATGACCACCTGTGGATGTCTTGGAGAACCTGTGACGCAGAGACCCACTAATGTCCGCCCACATTATCATAGCCCCTAGAGAAGGGTGTGACAAGGATTCTAATTATCCTGCACCTTCCCGAATGGAGAGTGCACCTCCCCTATCTCCTAGGCATTCCCAGTGGGTAGCTTGGGGGATCTTTGGCTTCCCTGTAGATAGGGCCCAATTTACTGGAAGATCAAATCCCCACCTGCTCTCCCTCTAAGCAGTCATAAGTTTTGTAATTACAAGTTTCATGACTTTTACCATCCTTGTCCAATGAATGATGTCTTAGGTCTTATAAATTCCCTTTACTCTAGGTAAGCTTGATTGCGGTAATTGTAGAGGGAAGACAGAGAGATCGTGACACCGAGACTATTATAGGAAGTGGCAACTTTATTATGCTGGCCAGCCCAGCGGGCTTGAGGGGCTAATGCATCCAAATCGAGCCCCACAGAACAGAAGTGGGGTTTTATACCCTTGTTTAGGTTGTAGCAGGAAAAATAGAGAGATTGTGACACCAAGACTATTATAGGAAGTGGCACTTTATTATGCTGGCTAGCACAGCGGGCCAAGAATTTCATGCATTCAAATCAAGCTCAAGCACCCCAGAACAGTAGACGAGAGGTGTTATACCCTCCTTTAGGTAAGGGAGGGGGGTCGTGTTGAGTGATTACATATTTCCTTTGGAATCTTACAAGGTTGTACTCAGCAAAATTAGATTTTTCAAAGAACAAATGGTCTCCAGGAACTGCAGAGTTGTAAACCGTCAACTTTAGAAGAGGGGTTTTGGATAAGTATACTCTTTTGCATTTCCATGAAAGCCATCAGTCTCTAGTCATTTGGCCTTTTCAAACAAAACCAGCTTGGCAGGTCTTTAGAGCTTGCCGCTTGGCTTTCAAAAGGAAATACCTTTAACTACTACCAACCCCTCTCCTGCCACATCATTATGAGATACGTCTGATACCTGGAAGTCTGTTTCTGAAAAGCCAAAGTAGGTAAAGTTAATTTTACTTAAAGTGTGCATTTCTCTAAAAACATAACTTCTATTTTCTCATTATTGCATCAGGGTTTAAGAACAAGATGAAAAATGGCTTCCCACTCTCCGTCTGTCCTTTCAAAAAGGTCACAGTCTTATCAAATTAGAGACCTAGACCTATCACCTTATTTCAATTTAATTACATACTAATGGCTTTATCTTTCAACACAGTCACACGGAGAATTAGAGCTTCAATATATGAATTTTGGAGAAACACAATTCAGTCCACAGCATTCCACCCTTGGCACCTCCAAAATTTTTGTCCTTCTTATGTGCAAAATACATTTATTCCACTCCAACAGCCTCCAAAATCTTAACTCATTCCAGCATCCACTCTAAAATTTAAAGTCTCATCTAAATATCATCTAAATCAGGTATGGGTGCAACTCAAGGTATGATTCATCATGAGGCAAAATTTCTCCATCTGTGAATCTGTGAAACCAGACAAGTTACGCACTTCCAAAATACAGTGGTAGGACAGGCATAGGACAGACATTCCCATTCCAAAAGAAAGACATCAAAAGGAAGAACTGAGCTGGGCTCCTGGCTCAGCCTGTAATCCCGCACCTTTGGGAGGCTGAGGTGAGTGGATTGCCTGAGCCTGCGGGTTTGAGACCCACCTGGGCAACTTGGTGAGACCTCATCTCTACAATAAATAAAGAAAACCAGACGGGCGTGGTAGCGCGTGCCTGTAATTTTATTTCAGCTACTTGGAAGGCTGAGGCAGAAGGATCGCTGGAGCCCAGCAGGTCGAGGCTGCAGTGGCCGGGAGTGGCCACTGTACTCCAGGAAGAACTGATGAGGATCCCAAGCAAGTGCGAGACTAGCCAGCAAAACTGGAGAATGAGCCACTTTGGTTGGATGTTCTGCCCTAGAGGGCCACTGGTGTCATCACCTCCATGGCTACCTGGAGCAGCTCTATCCAAACATCCCTCTTCAGAGAATAGCCCACCCCTGAGGCACTGGGTTGGGTCATCCTGGCTCACACCAGAGACAACTTTGTTGTGTGACAGAGGAGGAAACAACTTTAGTTCTGAGGCTTGTGGTGTCAGTGGCAGTTTAAGATTAAGATTAAGATAGTCTCTTAATCGCCTCCTGTGTCATTCTTCCCTTTCTTGTGGAATAGCACACACTCACAGCTAAATAGCTCTATGGTTTGGTCCTGTAGAATCCAAAAAGTTCCAGAGTCGTTTTTCCTCCCTTCCTGTTTTCTGCATTCTCTTTAGTTTAAACTGGTAGTGTCTTTTTTGTTTGTTTGATTTGAGTCAGAGTTTCACTCTGTTGCCCAGGCTGGAGTGCAGTTACACACTGCTCAGGGCCACTGCAGCCTCAACCTGCTTCTGCCTCAGCTCTCCAAGTAGCTGGAACTACAGGCATGCACCACCAAGCTTGACTCATTTTTCTTGATTTATTGTAGAGTGTAGTACCCGAATCCTGAATCCGAGAGACCACCAAAGAGCCAGCTCTGATGCAAATCACACGAGGGTCTTTATTCAGGCTCGAGTCTGGGCT